GGTTTTATAAATATTCTGGAGAAATAACAGGAGAATTTATGTTGGGTTACTCTAACTGTTGAGTGGGTATGCATAAGAACAGGCATAAACTTTTATTGTTCATGTGTTGGCAGAACCAGCCCTATATGATGTGGGACGCCAGTGCACTAGAAAGCAATCAGTCAGCCAAAGATACAATTTGTTGGATGGCTTCGTGATCATAAACCGGGCAAATTAACCCTTATATCTCGGAACTGGACGAAAAGAGAAGTGCAACCCTACTCTTGTTATGTGGTAACAAAGATGTGCTTATTGCCGTCATCAGATGCAAAAATGAAGAGTTCGTCATGTGGATAAGCAGTGGAGTGATTGTAAAGTAAAGCTTTGTGTTCAAAAGGGTAACTTGGACATGTGCAGCTTTTTATTTTTCACCCTATTTTAAAATTTAGATAAGGCTGTGAAATATGCAGGAGTAGTGTATGATGGCTCGGAATTTTCACAGGTGCCATTTTACTTAGGAGACATAATTAATGCGCAGGTGCTTACTGTCACATCCTTCCTTGCTGTTCTGGCCTCCGAGATAAAGTGTATCTGGTGCTAATGTCGGTGTACTTGCATTTTGCAAGATTGAGAACAACCAAGGCTTACAGTTTCACATGCCTGTCCAAAGAGCTTATGATTTGTGTTGAACCCTGCTTTGGTCTCACACATGCGACTTACTGCAGAGATGGGGAACTGGCACGATGTAAATTGTGTGTTACAATATGTGTGGGGTGCTGACACCTCCATGTAGGCTTGTTTGCGCCGCGTGGCGCTGGTGTCTCGCACAGAAGCCGTATTTTGGGGTCACAATTATTGAGCATAGCTGGCGTGTTGTTCGCGGGCATTGATCACCACTATCATCATCAAGGTTAGATCAGCATGAGCGCCGGTAGTGACCTTAGTGGGGGCACGAAAGAATTGAGCGAGTCTGTTTCTCTGGTGGCATTTGGCGCAAACGCTTGCTTCTCGCGGTGTGTTCCCTGTGCACGGCATCACAGGCCGTCTGCCAGGGGCCACTGTAGCGAGTCAGGCGTTGGCGATGCCGCCTTGCATTTTTTTTGTTGTTGAGAGCTATGTGTTAGGTTGTTTAGCGTGTGGATCATAGTTGATGTTATAAGAACTCTGGTGACGATATCGTCGATCAAAAAGTAGTTAAATAAAAATGTTTGGTTTGTTCCTACCACATCTGCTTTGTTCGTTCACTCCAAGAGCGTGGTGGTGATTACCACCTTCAGACCCCACACTGGCGCCCAACGTGGAGCTCTTGGAGCATTGGATGTTAGCTTTTGGGGTTCGGTACAACCTTCCGTAGATAGATATGTGGGGTTTAACGTCCCAAAACCACCATTTGATTATGAGAGGCGCCGTAGTGGAGGGCTCCGGAAATTTTGACCACCTGGGGTTCTTTAACGTGCACCCAAATCTGAGTGCACGGGCCTACAACATTTCCGCCTCCATCGGAAATGCAGCCGCCACAGCCGCGATTTCATCCCGCGACCTGCGGGTCAGGCAGCTGAGTACCTTAGCCTCTAGACCACCGCGGCGGGGCACAACCTTTCGTTTGAGCTGGGGTAGGCCTAAGAGGACTTGGGCAGAGTAGGCCTAGAGGGGACTTCTCATTGCTATAGCGTCGGCAGTGTGCTTTGTTGAGAGCGAGGAGATCGGTTGTTGTGACGTGTTTGAACTTGTCGGCACGTTGAGTATCTTTTTCTGCTCTCAAGTGTTTTCTTTAATATTTTGTTGTTGGTGTTCAAGAATGTTGTTCACTTGGTACGAGAGCCATGCAGTCTACATCCTGGGGTGAGCAAAGCTTAGAGCACGTGGAATTGTAGGCCAGGCCTGAAGCGAGTGATTACGGAAACCTCGTGGGTAGTCTGATTTTTTGTAGACAGTTTGTTCTATCTCATTGGGCTCAGGGAGCCGGGCGTCATTGATGTCTTGTATTGCGGCTCAACGCCGGGGTGTCGTGGCACTCTCCGGGACGGTGGACGCCAATCGCTCAGTAAGCTGCTCTGTGCGGCGAGTGATAGGCCCATCTTACATAGTGGATGTCTTCTTGCGGCTGCCTCTTCTGTGCCTAGGCTGGGTGAGTGCTGGTTGTTGTGAGCGACTCATTAGGCCTAAGACTCTGCACAGCCACCTGTCGCATGTGGCACAATTAGGTGGATCGAAACGTTTAGGGGTAACGCGTCGGCATCGTTTACTGATGAGCACATACCACGCGTTGGAAGCTGTCAGACCGCGCTTTGGACCCTTGCGCTTACGCTCTCCGTATGGCCCACTCTGCCGCCACGCGTGACATTCCACGGCAGGAGCGCGCGGTCGACACGAGGTTTAACGAGCGCCGCAACCAGGAACGAGGGCCACCTGATCGAGGCGACTTACGATCGAGCAGGTGTGGTTTCCGCGGTCCTTGCTATCGGTGCGGCGGGTCGGGGCACATCGCCCGCGAATGCGACCGCACACCGGGTAAGGAAGAAACGCGCGGTTCGGGAAACGGACGGCACCGCCGGTGATCCACATCAGACCCTGCGCGGTGATCAGCATCCCACCAATAAGTTCGGATCACTTGCACCCTCAGTCTGTCACACAAGTGATGCCATAGACTGGCCCGCACCATTAATTGAATGAACGATAGCTCAAAACAAGTTCGTAGCACTTTTGGACACTGGGGCAAACGCTTCTTTATTCGGGAACAATGTGCTGCACCATCTCCGTGAGAACAATATTCACTTGAGACAAAGCAACACCATTTTCTGCCTTGCTATGGACACAGCAAAATCGAGTGGCTCGGCTAGTGAACCGCAGGGAAATACGCATGAAGCGACAACATTTCGTGCATCTTTCGGGCTAGCTGTCGATGTCTTTAATTCGAGACTTGCTCGTGAAGTCCGGTATTGTCATTGACATTGCAAGCGACGGTTACCCAGAGCGCCACCGGGACGCATCAAAGCTTTTCTCGAACGCCCCCTCATTGACAAAAGCACGCTCATCACGGGGAGAAGCACGAGTATGCGAGAAGGAAAGCGTGCGGAGAAAGCGAGTGACCACCTCGCCACAACAATGTGCTGCGCTGCAGGCAAGGTCAGTACACCTGCTTTTGGTAGATGCACAGAGCCTGCCAAAAGGGGGAACGAGCTCAGCTGTCGTCGCTGTAGTACGAATACGACGCGATGTTTACTGACCGCCCCGGCCGCACTACGCTGGTCAAGCATAGAATTGACACGGGTGATGCACCACCTTGGAAATGCGATCCCCGACTCGTCAGTTTGGCTAAGCGGAAAGCATTTGACGCCGCTATGGACGAACTCATCCACACAGGAGTAGCTGAGAGGTCAAACAGCCCATGGATTTTCCCGGTAGTCCTAGTTACAAAGAAAGATGATACGCATCCTCTTTGTGTAGACTACCGCTGGCTGAATGAGGTTACGAAGAAGGACACGTACCCTCGTTCCTCATTTTTTTTCTTGCGATGCACGAGTTTTGAAAAGTGACCTTTGTTTTTGTTTTTTTGACTAGGCATTGCAGTTGCCGTCGATGTATTAGCTAGCAGTACTGACCATCGTACTATGTTGACGAGGAGCCCGAAGCTCTCTTCCCTCTGCCCTACTGCATTGTTCTGTTGAGTGTTCTAGAATGAAAGCAGCGGTTACAGCCAGCCCCTGTAAGCAGCGGATGTCTGTCTTCTGGACAATGTCTTCGTCGCTGGCCAAGAATGCGGTCACGACATCGGCTGATGGACATGCCTGGGACCTGCGTAACTGCCTGCAGTCTGGCGCCCTCTTGAGTACTGGTCGCAACCAGAAGATGCGTCGGCGCAAGTGACGCTTTGTCGCGCCGATGGCAACGTTGTTGTTGCGGGATTGGTACTGAGGGGAAGTCGTCGGGCTTCACAGTGCAGTGTCGACCGGCGGCGGTGTCGTGGTGCACGGACATTATGTAGGGGCATGTGTTGTTATTTTTTCTTAGAGCTTGTGTAGCTGATTTCGGTCATGCTTTTTTATTTTCGGGACATGGTTTGAATAAAGGTTGGGAGGATTTTGGGGTGCTGACACCCCCTGTAGGGTCGTTTGCGCCGCCTGGTGGCGCTTGTGTCTCGCACAGAAGCCGTATTTTGGGGTCACAGCTATTGAGCGGTAGGTGGCGTTGTGTTTGCGGGCGGTGATCACCACTATCATCATCATGGTTGGATCAATATGAGCGCTGGCGATGCCCCCAGGCGGCATGCCTTAGTGGCGGCGCGAAAGAATTGAGCAAGTCTCTTTTTCTAGTGGCGTTTTGCGCGAACGGTTGTCTCTCCCGTTGTGTCTCCGGTGTGTGGCACCGCGGGCCGTCTGCCGGGGGCCACTGTGGTGAGTCAGGCGTTGGCGCCGCCGCCTTGCATTTGTTATGTTGTTGAGAGTTGTGTATGTATGTGTAATGTTGTTTAGCATGTGGGTCATAGTTTATGGTATAATAATTTAGGTGACGGTATCATCAATCAAAAAGTAGTTAAAAATATGTGCTTGGTTTGTTTCGACCGCGTCTACTGTGTTTGTTCACTCCAAGAGCGTGGTGGCGATTGCCACTTTCAGACCCCACAAATGTTAAACAGAATACTAGTTTGAAGATGTAGAAGTTGATAGCTTGGTATTTTCGCTCAATTGGCATTGACAGCATATTGTGGAAGCATGTTATTTGTCCTCATTCAAATGATACTCAACTTCGATTTTCAATTGTTGTGCTTATAGAGAGGGTAACCTTGCTTTCCAGCAATTAATTTTGTCACAATAGGCACTTTTGTGTGTTCAAGAATACCTGTGTTGTGTCGAGAAATGCGCATTTATTTACTCCTAAGTGCTTCTAGAAAGATAGCTCCAAACTTATCCAAAGTTAGGACTTCGTGCTTTCACACACTGGTTTGCACCACTGTGAAGGCTGCTGCACGAAATAATCCTGGCTGGGTATTGGTGAGTGATGCCTGTCTGTTTCACTTACAGACCCAGGCTGCACACGAGGAGGAGCGAAAGCTGCTTGGTCAGGGCCTGGCTCAGTGCCGCAGCCAGCTGCGGACTCTGCACCCTGAGCTCACTGCCCTGAAAGAAGAGGTAACCCAGGCTCGCCTGGAGGCGCACCTAAGCTGTCTCAGGTAAGATTTTGTCTCATATCTTCTCCATTTGCACGCTTTCGTGCGTGTGATGTTTCTGGTCTGATCAAAAATTTTACAGACAACTGTATAGGAATCTCTTTTTTACACATCATTCCTGGAACATTCCTGTGTGATATGTGTGGGAATCTGAGGCGTGCCCGCGACCATTTCATGGGAATTCCTCCGTACCGCCGTTTCTTTTCCTTTCCTGTGCTATGATAACAGCACATGGTGATAGATCTGCCCCCGCCACGCGCGGACGCAGATGTGTTTTCGGGGGCTGCGAGCATCAGCGAGGCTGAGTCACGTGCGCGCCGGGAAGGGTCTCTTCTCTATCGGCCGGTGCCTGGTAAGCATGTGGTTTTTTTCGTTCGCGTCCCCTGCGGGAATTGCCGGATTGTAGCCTGCCTGGCTGCCTAGGCATCCCCGGTAAGCGTGTTTAACCGAGTGTTAGCTTCGGTACCGTACACTAACCCTAGCAAAAATTACCTATAGAAAAACTAATAGCCTATCGGATTATTGAACATACTGGTCTATTGGTATGCTATGGGTCTATAGATGGCATTGTGGTCTATTAGACCTCTATTTGTCTATTGGTGTATTTGTCTGTTGGCACTCTATTAGCCTATTGCGTGTTGGTCTATTGGCATATTGGTCCTGCATATGTCTATTGGCATTCTATTTGTCTATTGGTGCTGTATTTCTTTATTGGAAATCTATTTCGGCCTATTCCTTAATTGAGAACTCTTAGCTTTGGAATAAAAATATAGGGCGTTTGAGGACTGTAACATAGCAGCGCCTCTATAAAACAAAACAGATCCATTCCAAGTGAGGCTTGTATTATGTTTATAACTAGTAGAAGATAATATCATCAAATTGGCAAATCTTTTCTGAAACAAGCTTTCCAAGCATGCTGTTCTTGCTTGTCGAATGTATGCCCCCGCACTACTTCTTCAGATAGGGCCTGAAAAGAAAAACTGATATAAAATACCAGGAAGAAGAAAGGAAATATTTTATAAGTGCTACTCAAAAAAATGACACATTAAAAAAATGTAGAACCAGCATGAGGGAAGTTGCGGTGAGCTCTCAATAAGTAACAGCTTCACACAGTAGGAATGAACATTTTGTCACATCTGTGCAGCGGATTCGATTATGCTTGTGTCCAGAAACAAAACGTCAGTCACTTAGGTGGACCTTGGACACTTGTGGGCAAGGTGAAACGGCACTAGCACCAAACCGATCCCAGCATCTGAGCTTTGGGAGTCACACAAAAAGCTTCACTGAATAAGTGCCTCTCTAGTGCAACCATGCAAGTTACAGAATAGGGTTCAGTGAGCATGAACGCTAATTAATGATGGGAGAGCTACACATTATTTTTGTTAGCAATAAGCTTGGGTGCTTCCCTATCTCCGAAGTTTACTATTATGATTGAACGAAGAGGTTACATATTTTAGTCTTTTTCAATTACCATGAAAACAATGCGCTGGTCAAAAACATGCATTTATGCCAGTGTCTGTATATGCTAACAGCCCACACGATGTTCAAAAGTGTTGTACTGTAGAGAGGAAAAACTATTGAACAAATAAAATGGCCAAACACTTTTAACGTGGAAGCACTTTGATGGCTGGCAAATAAACGAATTAGAAGCACAAGAAAAGCAACTTCTACAGACTAACAAATATATAAAACAGTTCTCTTTCCTAACAGCCGCAAGGTATGCACTCAGAAGAAATCACCTTGGTGGGGCATCGTGTCGACACCAGCACCATTCATTGCTGTTTAAATCTGAGACGCTGCTTTTACCACTGTAACTGCTTCGAAGTTCATGACTAATCTAGCATTGTCATTGCGATTTCATATATGCCAATTTAACTTTGAAATATTTTTGAATATATACAAACACCGAGCCCGACCACGCTGCCTGACACACTTGGCTGACAACAGCTGCGGCTGCGGCTGGCTGTAGTCAGCTCGCACGCACGCTTGCTGGCTTGAGTACTCGCGCCGTGGTGATGCCACAAAAACAAGAGTATGTTCTCTCACTTCTTATTGCAATATTTTTTTCTTGTAAAATAAACTGAGCTGCAAATACATTAGAAGATTATAAAAACCATAATAGCAAACTGAAATGCTGGTGGCAAAAATAAAAATGAAATTTAAGACATACAACGCCTTTTAGCGACATTATAGTCTTTTTTATTATTTCTTCAAGCCTGTATCGCCTTGCGGCAACTTTCAAATGTTATACCTTTTCCGTTTTAATTTCTACAATTTGTACTAAGGCATGAATAATAATTTCTATGTATCTATCTCACGCATCGGCGGCATCAATTTCTCTCACCGCAAGGGGTTCGTGTAACGCAGGAGGCTTGTGGGCCGCGGCAGCGAACGTGAACATCTATGTTCACTATTCAAGTGCTGGAACGAACTGGCCTTCGTACTTACACAGGGGCGTTTGAAAGATACACAAACCACGCAGTTCGCATTTGTCTTCACCGTGCACTTAGCTTGGTCATGCTAGTCTCGTTATTATGCACCATAAATGGCCTGTCTTTTTATTACCACGAAGGCTAGGAAGGCTAAGTAACGCGACCAGCGGAGCGGGGGTACATACTGTTCGCATTTTTTTTTTTAATTTGAAGAACCGTACTGGCCCACCGGCTGAAATGGTCGATGTATACATTAGGGGTATACACATTCAAGCAGGCTGTGACAGTTTATATTTTACACTTCAACTTCGGTTATTTGGTTAATAGTTGATTTTCCCACCCCGTGTGCACTTTGAAGGAAAGCAGTACGCTGCTGCCTCTGCACGAACGTCCTGAGCCCCTGCTAAAACATTACCTGCAGTGACATTCTTTTTTTAACTCTATGATAAGTTTTCCTTCAGTGAACACCTGTTTTGAGTGCTTATATAGCCTACAAACATTATAATCATAATCTTGATTGCAGAATGAAATTACTCAAGTTCGGGTGTCAAACTATTAAGGTGATACTTAAGAAAAATATGGGTGCAATGTTTTGGAATACACATATATCTGTCACTTTCCTCATATATTGAACAAATAAAAAACTCTCTGTTAATTGAATTTGTCAATAAGTGAAATACATATATGAATGGCCTTTTAATACCACGCATATAACCTCACAAATTACTTGATTCTAGTATAAATTCACACCAGCTGGTTTTATAAATGACAAATAGCTGCTGTTTATTGGTTCTATAGGCGACAAATACGTCTCACCTGTTGCAGCCCATAAGCACCAATAATACACACCAGTAGCTGTCGCCTATAGGTACCAATACATATTTATTGGTCCGATTGGGGACAAATAGCTGTGTCCTATTGTACTCTAATAGTGCCAATACGTGTTTATTGGCTCTATAGGTGACAAATAGCTATAACCTAGAGGCACCTTATTGGTCTTATCGGTGACAAATAGGTGCGGTCAATTGGTTTTTATTTGTGCCAATAGATTTCTAATGAGACCAATTAAGCACCAATACAGCTCTTATAGAACTAATAAGATTTCTTTATAGGACCAATACATTTCTGTATTGGCATTTTTGCTAGGGTAAGCCAAACAGCGGTGCCTAGTGCTTCATAGGGTCATACCACGCGAATACGCACTCGCTAGAGGATTACGCATACGAGGTTTGTCATAACTCTCGCAACCAGGCCCAGTGGCCATCCTCAGAGTGCGCAGCATAGCCGCGAGGGACCTTTTCCCGACCGGCGTGTCAAAGCTCGCCATTATGAGCTGCGACGAGCTCGCGGTCTCCTTTTTATCGTGAACGTCCGTGTGCTGGAGCCTTTGTTCCCCATGTCCTGAGAGCAAACCTTGTACTGTTGTTTGGGGTGCCGCCAAAGGCAATGAAGTGCTTGTGCATTGCTGTTAATCGAGCACTGCCTATTTTGTCTTGCTGCGCTACACTCTTTGTTAATGAAGAGAGCATGGAGCGGTGCGCTACACGTTAGCAGGTGATAGAGACGCGACCTTGTGGCTCGCTAAGCTTGCACCCTCTGTGGTCTTCTGTTTCGGTGAGTAGCAACAGCGAACAACGTACAAGAGCAACTCAGGCGTACACAATCCAACCTAAAACTGTGTTCATCCTCTTTCACTGCACTACTCTTCACGTGTCAGTCACTTTGGCGGTATGAACCATTACATTTGCCGCCTCGTCTCTCTGGAGCCTGGCAATAAAATGTGCTTAGAAATTACAGAAATCATGTGGCACAAAAAGTTTCAACTGGTTTGCATAGGTGAGAAAAACACCATTGCTGTTTTTGGTGCCCAGTTCAGAAATAACTTCCAGGGGGAACGTAATAGGACCTAGGGCTTTTACCAGTCGAAATGAGCTAGCAAACTGAGGAAGAAACTTCTGGCAACGCTGTGGAACACGCTAGGTGTGTCGATCCGACTTGGCGAATATAATGCGCTTAAACTTTTACACGTGCTGGTTAAAGAAATGGGATGATAGTTAAGAGGAGATGTTTTACTGCCACACTTATGAATTAAAATAACATTCCCAATTTTCCACACTTTTAGAAGAGCGGAATGATCAAGCAATTGCTGAAAAAGTTTACACATGATCAAAGCAGCATAGGTAGAATTGTTTTTCAGAAATTTCACACCAATATCATCACATCCTGGTGCTGAATGAAGGCCAAGTTTATTAATGTGTTTAAGAAGACCGAATGTACTGATTACAGTGATGGGAAACCTGTATCAAGTGCGCCAACCTGAGCCAACAGGAAATTACTGCGCCATACTGCTCCAAAAGGGGTCCTTTTGTCTATTTTATCATTGCTGTGCCACAAGGTAGTTTTAGAACTAAAAACATGTTGACATCAGGCATCATGAGCGGATATTATATGAAGGTCGCCATCTTGTAAACTTACGCTGCTGCAAAACACCAAACTGGCCGATCAATTATTACGACTTCCGCGTGATTGTGGCAGTACACTTTTGTGGTAACCATTGGCAAAGAACGATGG